GAATTGTGAGATATCATTGGAAAGCTCTAAATATCTACTTTCCAATTTCGTTAGAATTAGGTTTAAATATGTTATGGATAAAAAGTTATGGCCGTTGGAGTGAAAGGTTGTCGGTTTTGGGCCCGATTTAGTGTTTTGATTATAACTTCTTCGTTTTGGCTCGGAATTGGGCTTATAAAATACCGTTGAAAAGCTCTTTGAAAGGGATATCCATATGTATAGGACTTGCACGGGAATTTAATGGTTGGTTTATCTGTTTGGATCGGTTTTTAACAATGTAGGTTCCATTGGATCCAATCATTGCATTTAACGCATTTGAGTCCGTTATTAATCAAGTTTAAACATGTATGAACACGTTTTAGGCCTAATTTGTAATCGGACAAGGCTCTAAGATAACTTGGTCTCAAATATGGCTTTCAACTTACTTCAAAATTCTTTTCATAGTCCATAAACTTTTCAACTTTGATCTACCATGAAGAACGGATTTTTGTAACATCATCGCACTTCCTTTCGGGACAAGAGGACAAAAGTAGGTGTCTATAGTTACGACTAGTTCGTTATTCGTAACGGACATTTAATTTTCCCGTTACAAATGATATTTTTTCCAACATTGTTACTAGAGTGGGTGTTTTAGGAAGAAGAAGGATTGTCGTTCTTCTTTCCAGCCACCGTGGTTACTATTGTTAGTAGCTTTTTGCTTTGCGAGGTCGTCTTCGATCTCGATACCTATGTCATAGACGGCTCTGAAAGTATTCAAGTTGTGTTGATATTTTAAGTGCTTTAATAAACATCCTCACAGACTCTTTTTCGGTTGGGACCTCAATCATCTTAGCGGAAGTATCCCTCCATTTATTGAAGAAAGAAGTAAAGCCTTCATTCTCTTTTTGTCTTAGCATTTCAAGTTGTCTATAATCAGTTTCGACTTGGATATTGCATTTATACCTATCAATGATAGACAAACGGTTTCAAGAGATAAGGAAAACAAGGAATGAAAGACTTTCTTATCAATCCCCTTAATGTTCATCATAGTTTCAAAGGCTCTTAAGTGAAGGTAAGGATTATCTGTTGCCTTGAATTTTGGGATGTCGTTGGCATTGAACTTATGCGGAAGAAGTTCTTTGTCCACCAAGACCCCTTGTGAACTAATGCCTTGAAACTTGTAATCACTAGACAACTTGCTCAAACTTTCTTGCCTGAGGTCCATCTGTTGTTGCTTCATAGGGGCATTGATTTTGAGGGTTAAAACCTTCAATGCCTCAGTCACGCTAGTCAATTGATTCTTAAGTTCGTTGACTTCTTCTTGAGTTGCCATTATCTTTTTAGCTTTCCTCTTTTGACGAATCGGTTTATCAAAAAGTAAGACTTGAATAAAGAGGTTGTCCTTGATTAATCACCCTTCTCTCCTTGACCAATTACTGTCGAAAAGGAATTTGGGGGTATTCATTGTTAATTATTTGACTCAAACTCTATTCAACATGCAATGGATGGAGGAAGTGAAGAAAGATGATTGTGATGGAGGGATATGAAGAAATTAGGAATTAGAATGTACCCCCAACTCGAACGACGGAAAAAATGACTCATGCATGAACCTAAGACATGGTCATGGTGACATACTCAAAGTGTGTGCTAATACTAGTGAGTGTAGGTGACATGCTAAGACTCGTGTCATGACCATGTGGCTAGACCATGTGACTAGATTCAATTAAAGACTTAATGAGACATTATTATTAATAAAAATAATCGAATTGATTAACAAACTGTTCAATTAGACACAAAGTGATGACTCGAGCAATATACCGAACTGTCGCCAAAACGACAAGACTGGCGCCGCACTGTGTAGTTTAGCGCCGGACGATAGAGCTGTCGCCAGGCGCTACACTCCACTGAGTGGCGCTGCAGTCCAAATCTCGGCGCCAATGCTGGAACGTTGATCTGGAACTGCTTTCGGTATTATTACTCTACAGGGTATGCCTAAAGTCGTACTAAGTCAACTCTGATTAAATTATTAGACTCTAATCACCATAATTAATTAATTAGTTAAGCAAAGTCTCCTTAGCCATTAAGCAGTTTATTTTGTCTTAACACAAGTCAAACAAATGGTTAGGAAAAAACACATAGAGTATGCACAAGCAATAATGCACAATTAGTCAAGTAGGCACAACATGATGCAATGAGTTTGCAACCTAACCATGGCTCTAGTTCTCTAAAGTTCGGGATATGGGTTAGTCAATAGAGGGTCCATGGTTAATTGTCCGAATACATTGCGCGGAAGCTTAACCGTGAAGGGTTGGCGCGAGTGGATGGGACACCGCGAATTTAGAAAAACTTGCTTCCATGGTTTGGTGAATTCAACATTCTCGGATGCACCCTTTGTTGCTCAGAGCGTTCAATCAGGTACAATCAGGTACATGGAGCATGAATTCCCAGAGGGTTATGTCCATATGTAGAACACATATGGGTTTCAGAAAAGTGAGAAAAACTCAATCAGGAAGTAGGATCGAGCAAACAATGCTAAAAACTGGTCGAAATTAGAACGCATATTTTTGGCTCGGTATTGGAAGAATTTGGCGCCAACAAACAGAGGTTGACGCCAAATTTTGGCTTTAGCGCCTGCGCTAAAGTCAAAATGATGGCGCTAATTTCTGTTCGCTGACGCTAATTCATACATGCCTCAGCAGCTTTATGTGCTCGATAAAATTTTCCAGTTTCGCGCAGTGTTATTTCGATCCTAGTTGTGAAAGATATTCCTCAATTTTCCTACGTGTAAAAATCCTATGTTTTAACTCATTACGGATGGTCTTTCCAATGAGATCTTTTTTATGCATATGACAATAATGTTACTCAAAATTACGCACATGAAATACTTAGAACGTTTCGAGTCTCATCCACTCATTCTAAATTATTGCCGAAATAAATTTCAGGAATTAAAATAGAAATCCTCCCCAGTGGAGTCGCTAAAAACTGTAGGGAATATTTCAAGCATTATCCCAAACTTGAACCATACTGTGATCATACACTAAAGTACGGTGGCGTCCAAAGGGAAAGAAGATAGAGCAAAAGAGTCGCCAACAAGTTTTAGGAACTTGTAAACCGTTCACGAGGTGAAGGTTACACCCCTTAACGATCCAAGAGATCGTCAACTCCAATAGGTCTTGAACCATGACTGGTAATTCGGGGATGAAGGTACAAATCCAACCTAAAAGAGATTGAACATGCCCTAATAATAGGCCTCTACTTTATTCTGATCTTATTCATGTGCTGAATAACATGCAATCAATAGGATTAACCCTAACCTGTTTATCTATGTTGGTTGATTATTAATGCACAAATAAAATAAAACTATTATTGGCGATCACTTGAATTATAATCAAATTAACCCTAAACAAGATTATTAATTATCTTATTAAGCGTGATTATAAGTACAAATTCCCTTTTAACATGCATAAAAGGCGTGATCAAGCAATAACAATAAAAATCAAGCAACATAATAAATAATCATCATAATAATAACAATAATTATAATAACAATAATTATAATCATAATAATTAAAATAATCATGTTAAAGAATAATAATAGCAAGATCATAGGCATGATACTAACAAGATTAATAACAAACCCTAGCATGTCACTAAGCAATAAAAATCAAAGTTTTAGCCCTAACATGATACTATCAATCATAAATATTAGGAAATAATATAGGAAGCATCGCAGGAATCATAATAAGCATATTTGATATTATAACCTTTTCCCTAAACATAATACTGGGAATCATTGTTGTCATTCAAAAAATCAAGCATCCTAACATGATTTCTATATCTTAATATCAATGCAAACAATTAAAGCACTTACTTGGATACCTCGTATTTCTTTCTAATAACAAAATACACACGTTAGTAATTTCAAGGATAATAATAATTAAAACAATTAAATTAAATAATTGAAAGAGAGATTTGGGACCAAACCCTCAGAAATTAAAACATTTCACGTCTAGGGCGAAGACAACTTCGAATAATACTAGGTGTATCTAGGTCTTGTGAATGCGGAATTTTGTAAGAAAGGGGGTAGGTTCAGAAAAGAGAGAGAGAAGCTTTAGCTTAGAGAGAAAGTTGATGATTGTAGATTGGAGATTGTAGATGAATGAAAACGGAGTTTTTAGAAGGCTATTTATAGAGAAAATCAACCAAAAAGATAAAAAATCGAAACAGAGTTCTGACGCGCAAAACGAGGTTGGCGCCAGACGGGCTGACATTAGTCGCCAGTGCTAGCGCCAAGCTTAGCGTCAGGCGCTAATGCTGGCGTTTGGCGCTAACTTAATTATCGACGCGTTTTCTAAAATCAGATAGAAATTGCCGTACAGGAGGATAAAATCGTATTTTCCTCAAAAACATTCTTTTATTCTGATTAAAACTCTAAAAAAGTCAACAAAAGTCAATTTATCAATGCTAATTGAATTAGGAATGAAAAGAACCTTTTAGAAGAATCTAGAAGACTAAAACCATTCCTAATTGCATTAGGAATGACAAATCCACATTAGGCCCTCCTCTAGATCATTGAGCCGCATATAAGACTCAAACCGGGCCCAGTTTAGTAATTTGGTCATAACTTCCTCAATATTCATCGGAATTGGGCTTATAATATATTCTTGGAAAGCTCTTTTCAAACCCTATCCAACTACACTACTATTGGACCCATATCATGGACCAACCAAACTGGATTGGCTATTTTATTAAAATAGGTTTTCAAAAACAGGGAGAAGAGAAAAGAAATTAAAAATATCCGCAACACTAGACTTTCCACAGTTTCATTTAATTCGATTATGATTCGACGTGAAAGGTACTCATCACTAGGTTTGGTTTTGGGGAGACAAATGGGTGTCTACAGTTAGGGGTGTTCAAAAAAACCCGACCCGATTGACCCGTCCCGACTACCCGATGACCCGCACAAAACCCGATGGGTAATTGCCAGTTTTTTTCGGGGCGGGTACCCGACCCGACAAAATAGACAGTTCGCGGGTCGGGTCATGGGCCGCAATTTATTTTTCACGGGTACCCGGATACCCGATAATAAACTAGAAAACAAAAAATCCGCCCTCAGCTGAGCCCAGCCCACTTACTCACCAAGCCACTTAGGGTTTAATTCTCACTCCCTCAAAAAATAACGCAGCTACTCACTTCCTTTTTCCTCTTAGGGTTCAATCACACTTTCAAACCTTTTTCCTCTTTCTATCTCTCCTTCTCTCTCTCATTCACTGAGAGAAAGTCTTACACCCATTCCAAATAGGTGCATTAACAACCAACATCAAGAGAATAACGCACAACTTGTGAGAGGAAGCCTTCAACAAGTGAATCGAACCGCGGCGGCCGAGAGATCTCCGATTGCAGCGGCTGAGAGTCCTACACGGTAAGAAGACGCGGTGGACAACGGAGAAGCAGCTAGCGTTGATAGGGTCCAAGTAGTTGCTAATAATCTAATATTGTTTTACCTGCTTTTTAAACTTTTAAATATATTAAAAATGCTTCGATTTTTAATTTTGGATTTATTTCCTGCAGTATAGCTTAGTATGATAGTTTTGTTTTATTTTGTTTTCTATTTTTTTCTAAAAAGACATAGTGTGATACGAGTTGTTAATAATGGTTTGGTTTTTTTTTTTTTTGGTTAATAATGGTTGTATATGGTGGAAAAATTATTTCAGTAACTATGCTCTTTTATTAATACTCGTTAAAAAAAATGCAAAGTTAGTATACCCCCGGGTACCCTATATCCCAACCCGAGAAATTCGGGTACCCAAAACCCGGTACCCGAATATCTCGGGTCGGGACATGGGCCGAAGTTCAAACTAACCGAAGATCCGGGTACCCGAAAAACCCGGGTACCCGGATCTGAACACCCCTATCTACAATAGTACTATTACAATCCTCAGGATATCAGATTATATAGCCTTTGGCTAAAATTACTTTGGGATCTTGGTAATTAAGTAATGTTCTTACCACTCTAGTGATCAAATGTATTAAACTGATTAACTGACCAAAATAATTATTCTGCCAATACAAGGCCAAAATATGTTTTGACCACTCTGGTTATCAAATGTATTAGATTGATAACAATACAAGCCAAAATATGTTTGTTTTGTGAGAAGTATTGCTTATGATGTGACCGTCTCCTAATGCCAGTGTCGCTGTATACTTATCATGGGCTCGACAATCCATAAAACTAGCTGAGGGAGATCTGGGAATAGGGTATGTTATGCATTCTTCACTCTCTCCACTGTTTAAGATTGTGGATTAATTTTTATACCTATGTTGTATTAAACTTCTTAACAGGACAATGAACCCAACCTTGATGGGATGTGTAGCTGGCTCTGCTTTACTGCGGAAAGCTGCATCCATAGCATTTCAGAATAAAAAGCGGGCAACTCTTACGAGCGATATAATTGAGTTTTTGGGGATAAGGTATAACTTCTGGTTATCCCAATGAATTTTCTTTTCCTTTTGAGATACCAGTTGAAACAGTGACCGACTTCGCAGAGCAGTTTAATATCTTAAATCTTTTACATTTTCTGCAGTTTGGAAGATATCTGTCCAATCTAGTAATTTTGCAACTTGTTTAATGTTGGTGCTTCCAGGCTTCATGACCCTTTACAAGAACATATTGACGTGAGAAGTAAGTTGTTGCTTACTTCTCTTCCCGTTTCATGTAGATTGTAAAATTACTGTTGCTAGTTGCTACTTAAAGTTGAGGTCTAGATTTGGTGTGTGGCAAGCTCAATGTACTCTTATAAATTTGTCCAGCTCTGACGTGGTCAAATATCTAAATGTGCTTACATGCTAAAATAAGGTCATGGAGTTCATAAGAAAAGGGACATTACATTTGTTATCCCTACCAGGCTACCAGATTACATTTAATGGACTCCGTTTGATACAAATTTAATTTGGTTTCCGGTGATGACGTGTATGATTTCATGGATTCGGCTTGGAACCTAAAGTATTGCTAAAGTATGCACCAGGATACTGACCCGTTCTCTGAGTTGCAAGGTTTATGATGCTGAAATATTGCATTTGAGTCTGAGATTATTGTTTAATTAATTTTTTTTTATCTCCTTCATACAATAAATCAAATACAAGTTAGAATTATTCAGAGGAATTAATTAATTATACATTTATAATCTGGTACTTGTTGAGTTGTTGCATATAATGCAAACTGTAACTGTAAATGAGTGATTATAATCATTATGCTGTAGGCCTGTAGGGTGTAGTTGCGGAACCATTTGGAAACCCTTCCCATGCTAATACAGTTACAGAGTAAGAAAATACAAGGCACTTTGAAGGTTTTCCTAGCAGTTACCCCAGTGATACTCCCAGTCCTTAAATTTTTTGCCCTATTGACTATAAAGTACTTTTAATCTATAAGAGATAACATAGTCCTAGAGAACTTGTTGCATTCGTCTCATTGTATAATTTATTAATATCTAGTTTTTATAAATTTTTTCCACATATGAAATGAAAATACAACCGTTTTAAAATGCATCTTAGAGACCGTGAAAAGTCAAATGGAGCAAAATATTAGGGACGGAGGGAGTAGCAAGGAAAACGATTTGAAGACCTGCATAGGCGGCTGCACCCACACATCAGATGCATCAAATGCCTTAGCTTAGAATACGCAGGACTCAAATCAACATTTACATGTGCCTGGAAACCAGTAGCACTACAGCAATTCTGATTTCCAAGCTAATTTGCTTGGTCTTCAATAAGTGCAGCTCTATCCGAATATTATCAAATATCTTTCCTGTCTACAAGGGTATAGAGGTGTCAATTCGGATAACCGGATGGAGTTTGGGTCGGGTCTGTTCGGGTCGGATATGTTCGGATCAAAATTATCCTGTTAAATCGGATCGGGTCAAATTCGGGTCATGGTCCATCGAGTCCGGGTCGGGTCAACTTCAGATCGATTTACTTTCGGTTCGGATATATTTGGATCGGGTTTAAAACGGGTTTAGCCGGGTAACTTCGGGTCGGATGAATTTTTGTCGGGTTGATTTCGGTTCGGATGATTTCAGTTCGGTCAAGTTCGGTTCGGTCAATTTCGGTTCAATTCCTTTTTGTGTTTGGCTGGATTTTGGTCGAGTTGACCAAATTCGTATACAAATAAGGTTATTTTTAAACTAGAGATATTGTTTAGTTTTTACCTTATTATTGGGTCAATAAAACTAAAGACTTCGGATTATTTCTTTGTAGTAAAAAAGTTAACTTATTAATAATTAGTAAACTTATAGTATAAGTGTTGAGGGTAAAAATACCTCGTATACGTGGACCAATCCCATATTGACACGTGGCCCAGTTATAGGGTGACACGTGACCATAGGAAGATGCCACGCAATCCAGAGTTTTTAAGGTCTCAGGCCAATCCCATAGTGACACGTGGCCCAGTTATAGGGTGACACGTGTCACCACGAGAAGATGCCATGTGTTTAGGCAATATGATCCTTCTAAAAATCAGCACGCCAAAAAGCCCTAACAACGTCAGGGCCCAAATCCCGAGAGATGACACTGAAAGCCGCAAAACGGCGCCCCAGAGTGGTACGTGGCATTCGCTGATTGCGCAACCAATCACGTCACGCAAATCTAGGGTATAAACCCTAGAGAGGGGCACGAGTCCCACCCCTATAAATACCCCAATCATTTATGATGGGAGGGAATTCAGACAATTGAAAACACAGAGCATTAAATAGCTCCAACTTCTCTCTACTTTCTCTCTCTAACCTTTTTCCGTTCTGATCACTGACTTGATCGTCGGAGGCGAATATTTCGTTGGCCGGAATATTCGTTGTTTTGCAGGTGGGGCCGACTCATTGCCAGCAGAGCGTGATCAGTATCCCAGGAAATCCAAAAAAGACCCGAAACATTTGGCGCTGTCTGTGGGGATACTCGTACGTTATGGCGATAGACGTAAGACACCTAATCCAGGCGAGGATGGACATGTAGAGGATATAATCCCTACGATCCGTACTAGCGATCCTGTGATAGCCACATTTGAAGAAGCTGATGACCCTCCTGTTACCGCATCCTCTCTTAAGGCCGCGCTTAACAAACTCAAAAAAGAAATTGAAAACGGAGCCTCTACCTCTAGACAGCCGCCCAGGAGAGAGGAACAAAGGGCTCCAAGAAAGACACACAGCAAAACAATCCATGCAACAGACGCTGGAAACACCCCATTTCGAAGGCCGACTGGAAGGTCCCCGAGAGTACCGCAGACTAATTTCTCTGACTTGCTGGCGAAAACGCAGTCGGCTGGGGGGAGAGGTAGACAGCCTTGAAGAGAGGAGCCTGAGCCGTCCAGACGATGGAAGGACGCAAGGGATTACCTTCGGCATAAGCAGCGGGAGCGCGCCGCCTACTCTGACACGGCCTCAACCCCGACAATGCCGGATGATTTTTCACATCATTCTCTTTCCCAGCATACCAACACGGCCATCTCCAGTGGAAGTCAGGCAGTTCGCACCCCAACTCCTATTCCAGTCTTCCATGCTCCAACTCCTATTCCAGCCCAACCACTGCAATATCAACCTCAGGGGTTCAATGGTTTGATGCAGCCAAACCCCCAGGCATACGGACAATATGGGCCATATGGGCAGGTGTATGGACAAGCTCCCTATCTGGCTGGACCGTCCGTGCAACCGCAACCCATCGATTGGCAGATGCGCCTACTTACTCTGGGAGATAAGCCGCCCCCGTTTTCGCAAGATATTCTAAATGCCCCTCAGCCACCAAAAGTGAAGAGTGTACTTGTGGGAGCCTATGATGGCACGGGCAATCCAGAAGAGCACATCACCTCGTACAGGAACCTAATGTACTTGCAAAGTTTAGATGATGCTACGTGGTGCAAATGTTTCCCGGCCACTCTGAAAGGTGTGGCACAGGACTGGTTCAACAGTTTGCTGGCCGATTGTATCAATTGTTTAACCACTCTTAGTTTGCTGTTCGTGGGAAACTTTTCATACAACATACCACCTCAAAAGACTAGCCTTAACTTGGCGACAATCATCCAAGAAAAAAAATGAGGGCTTACGCTCGTACGTCCAGCGGTTTTACCAAGAAAAAGCCCAAATTCATAATCTACCGGACGAAATGGCTTACTCTGAATTTCTCCGGGGATTAAGGCACAATGGTTTTAAATTTGACTTAGTAAGGAAAAAGATTCGGACGTACGCAGGTGTTTTGCGGGAAGCCAAAGCTTATATTGAGGCGGCGGACTTTTGTTCGCTCACAAAAGCAGAAGCGCCGGCCAAGGGGGCTGAGAAGAAACCTTCTCAACAAGACTCGGCCGGCCAAAAGAAAGAAGGAAAAAAGAGAAAGGAAGTCTGGGTGGCTGATGGCCAGCCACAGAAATCCAAGAAGGTCAAGGCGTACGAGCCTCAGTTTAAATTCAACAAGGATTGTTATTCTATCTTGATGGAAATCAAGGATAAGTTTGAGTTTGAGAAGCCACAGCCGCTGAGAGGCCCGGCTCAGCATAGAAACAAGAACAAGTACTGTCATTACCACAAGGATGTGGGACATGGCACGAACGATTGCATTAACTTAAAGAGACTCCTGGACAAACTAGCCGAGAAGGGAATGCTTAATTCATATGTGATGAAGTCCAAATTCACCTACACACGGACAAACAACACGTCCAAGAAAAGACAGAAGAATGATAAGAACAAAGATAAAGATGATGGCAACAGCACTGATTCATGCTTTGTGGCCATGATATCAGGAGGATTTGCCTCAGGCGGTCCCACTATGACAGGGATCAAGCAAGACGCCCGGAACCTGGGAAAGGTGATGCAGATGGATTCAGTGAAGGCTGAACCCTTCCCCGAAGTAATCATCAGTGAGGCCGATCGGGGGGAGGTCAAAGCCTTGCACAATGATCCCATGGTATTCATTATGAAGATAGCCAATTTGAAGGTCGGACGAATATTGATAGACACGGGTAGCGCGGTTGATATCATCAGCCTGGCCGCCTTGAAGAATCTAAGCTTCCCAGAGGATGCTCTCCAGGACATCACTCACCCGCTGGTCGGATTTGGGGGGAATGTCATCCACCCAGTGGGGCGGATAGACTTACCTGTCCGATTCGGGCAAAAAGGGGAAGGAAGAGATATGGTTGTCCGCTTCTTGGTCGTAAAAGAACTGACTGGATATAATGTCATACTCGGCCGTCCTACACTGAATGCAGCAAAAGCAGTCATTGTGCCTCACCTAATGCTTCTAAAGTTTGAAAGGACAGACGGGAAAATAGGTACAATCCAAGGAAGTCAGAAGATGGCTAAGGAATGCAATCAATTGGCGGTTAAGCCTACAACGCGCGGACCTAAACTGTCCGAGCCAAAAGAAGAAGGAACCTCACTCCCAACACACCAGGTCGGCCAGAAGCGTAAGGCGACCAAGATAGAGCAAGCATAGCAGCAAATGACTGTCGGGCGGCCAGAAAAGCTACGCCCCCAGCCGGCCGGCAATCACCAGGATATAGTGCTTGACCCCGATCAACCAAGTCGGACGGTCAGTGTGGGCACTATAGCTTTGGGTGTGCTTGGGGATGAGTTAATTCAATTATTGAGAGAGTTCAAGGATGTATTCGCATTTGATGTCGGTGAGATGCCAGGTATAAGTCCAAATCTGGCCGTGCACAAATTGGCTATGAATCCGGCCGTAAAACCTGTCCGTCAGAAGAAAAGGAATCATGGAGAAGAGAGGAATCAGGCGGCCGCAAAAGAAGTCAAGAAGCTTCTGGACGCCGGTTTCATTCGCCAATGCTATTACCTAGAATGGGTGGCCAATGTGGTCCTTGTCAAGAAGCCGAATGGAACTTGGAGAATGTGCGTAGATTACACCGATCTAAACAAGGCATGCCCTAAGGATAGCTTTCCCTTGCCTAAAATCGACCGTCTGGTTGATTCGACGGCCGGGCATGCCTGATGAGCTTTATGGACGCATACTCTGGATTCCATCAAATTCCGTTATGGGAAGGAGACCAGGAGAAAACATCGTTTGTGACTGAGCAGGGGTTGTATTGTTCAAAGTTATGCCATTCGGCCTC